ATTTTTTTTGTTGGAATTTTTGTTTTGTTTCCCTTTTTTTGGTTTTTTTTTTAATTTTTATTTTCTACAATTTTTTTTTTTTTTTTCTTCTCCACGGAGTGATTTGGAAATTTAAGATTTGTTTTATCTCGTGTTTTCAGCGCTTCTATCTGTAAAGCCTTGTGCATTCAAGCTGTTTGAAAGAACTTGTACAGAGAGGAACCCAAAGCAGTAAATCTTAACGCTTTAGTGTGCAGCTCTTTGAAGTTAAATAAACCGAACAAATGGGGAAGCTGGGCTGGACTGGTGCTTGGGGGAGGCTGGAGCCTGGTGCTGGGGTGTTCCTGCTCCTGCTCAGAGCTGCTGCTCTGGCCTGGGGCTCTGCAGGGACATTTCCCCTTTTCCTTCCCTCTCTGGGGGTTCTACAAGGACATTTCCTCCTCTCCTTCCTTCCTGGGAGGTTCTGCAGGGACATTTCCCCCTTTCCTTCATTCCTTGGGTTCTACAAGGAAATTTCCCTCTTTCCTTCCTTCCTCAGGGCTCTGCAGGGACATTTCCTCCTCTCCTTCCCTCCCTGGGCTTGTACAAGGACATTTTCCTCTTCTTTCCCTGTGGCTCTGCAGGGACATTTCCCCCTCTCCTTCCTTCCCTGGGGCTCTGCAGGGACATTTCCCTTTTCCTTCCCTCTCTGGGGGTTCTACAAGGACATTTCCCCCTCTCCTTCCTTCCTTGGGGTTCTGCAGGTAGAAAATGCAGGAATTTGGAGGATAAAGGCGGTGCAGGCAGTGCCTGCCCAGGGCACGGGGGGTGGTTTAGGGATAAACTGGGGCTGAGGAGGAGCTGGGATCATCCTGATGGAGCTCCCTGGAGGGACAACAACAACAACAACCCCAGGAGATGCAGACAGGGAACAAAAACCTGCTGGAAAGGTTCAGCTGCTCCAGGCCACGCAGGGAGGCTCCAAAATCCTCAAAAGCAAAGAGCTCCAGGATCCCAAATCCCCTGCAGCGGGGCTGGGAGGGCAGAAAAGGCTTTGGGGAGTTTGTTATTTAAATCAGGAATGAGAAGAACGAGGGGAAATCCATCCAAATGGATGAAACGATTCAAAGTGATGCCCTGAACAGCAGAGTCAACCCCTTCTCCAAAAAAATAAATCAGTTTATTTGCCAAAGACATGATTTGGAGGAATGAAGGGGTTGTTTGTGGTGCAGGAGAGCCTGGGTGAGCTGTGGGATTGCTTTGAAGCTGACTGTGAGCAGCAGCTCCCCGAGTTCCTGACATCCCAGGGTTGGGCTGCAGGATTTAATTAACATGGGGATTAATTAAACCCGGGGAGAGCAGGGACAGGGAAACCTGACCTGCCCTGGGAATTCCCTGGTGGATTCCTTGTCCTGCTGCCTCCTCCCTCTGCAATTCCCTTCTCCAGGTTTTCTGGGAAAAAATTCCCTTTTCCAGATTTTCTGGGAAAAAAATTCCCTTTTCCAGATTTTCTGGGAAAAAAAAATTCCCTTTTCCAGATTTTCTAGGAAAAAAATTCCCTTTTCCAGGTTTTCTAGAAAAAAATTCCCTTCTCCAGATTTTCTGGGAAAAAAAAAATTCCCTTTTCCAGATTTTCTGGAAAAAAATTTCCCTTCTCCAGATTTTCTGGCAAAAATTCCCTTTTCCAGATTTTCTGGGAAAAAAAAATTCCCTTTTCCAGATTTTCTAGAAAAAAAATTCCCTTCTCCAGATTTTCTGGAAAAAAAATCCCTTCTCCAGATTTTCTGGGAAAAAAATTCCCTTTTCCAGGATTTTCTGGAAAAAAATTCCCTTTTCCAGGTTTTCTGGAGCCTTCCCTCTCCTCCCTTCCCAGATTTCAGCAGCTCCCAGCCGAACTTTCCCACTTTTCCCAATCCTTGGGGTCCCTGCAGTTTCCCACAAGTTTTATTTTTCCGCTGGATCTGCGGACACAAAACATTCCCTGGATTTTTCCCACGTGGAAAATGAGATTTTTTTTTTTTTCCTCTCCCTGGACGTCTGTGGTGCCTTGGTGGAACCTCCAGGGACCTCTTGGGGTTTCAGCGCCCCAGTCCTGGCTGGAATCCCACGTTTTCCTCCAGGAATGACGATCTGGCCGCTGCAGGGCGCAAATGAAACCCTGCAGGGTTGGGAATCCTCACTTTGGGACTTAATCCTGACCAGTTCCTACCCCAGGGAATCAAACTTGGGGGTCAAACTTGGCAGTCCAGGCTCCCAAATGAGCTCCCAAAACCTCCCCGAGCTCCTTTTGGAGGAGCCCCCCTTGGTTTGTGTTCCCTGATAAAATCAGGGTTGGGCTGGACTAGTTTTCTGCAGGTGGGGATGATTCACAGCTCACGTGTGGGGATCCAGGACTGGGAAAAACAAACCCTGAGCTCACCAGGAGGGTGATGAGGAAAAGGCTTTTGGGTGGATTAAGGACAAAATCAGGGATGACCCCCCTGGAACAGCAAATTTGGGAAAAGCTGGGGGCAACCACCTGAACCTGCCTTCTTTCCAGGAGGGGGAAAATAAAAAAAAAATCCTGATTAAACCCCAATTTGCAGATTTTTTTTTTGCAGGATTGACCCCCAAACCTTCTCATGAACATCTTGGGGAGGAGTTCCTCCCAGGGCGCCGTTTTTAACCCCACACAAAGCCAGCGGCACCCGCAGTTGGTGCCGAGGTTTGGTGGCACCGAGGGCTCGTTCCCCTTTTCCTGCTGCTGCTCTCTGCTCTTTGCTCCCCCTGAGCTCCCCCGGGCTCCCCTGGGCTCCCCCTGGGCTCCCCTGGGCTCCCCCGGGCTCCTCTCCCGCAGGAAACCGGGAAAGCCGCGAGGGAAAGGAGCCAAAGCTGCGGCTCCGTGACCCGGGCGGGGACAGCACGCGTGGGTGCGGAACATCCCCGGGAACGGGGGGACATCAGTGCAACGGGTGTGGAGCTGTGATGTCCCTGGGAGTCCTGGGTGTGACATCCAGGTGTCCCTGAGAGTCCCGGGTGTGACATCCAGGTGTCCCTGGGAGTCCCGGCTGTGATGTCCCAGTGTTCTGAGAGTCCAGGTGTCCCTGAGAGTCCCAGGTGTGATGTCCCGGTGTCCCTGAGAGTCCTGGGTGTGACATCCCGGTGTCCCTGAGAGTCTCCAGGTGTCCCTGAGAGTCCCAGGTGTGACATCCAGGTGTCCCTGAGAGTCCTGGGTGTGACATCCCGGTGTCCCTGAGAGTCTCCAGGTGTCCCTGAGAGTCCCAGGTGTGATGTCCTGGTGCCCTGGGACGGGTCCCATTGTCCCTGAGAGTCCCAGGTGTGTCATCCCAGTGTCCCTGAGAGTCCCAGCTGTGATGTCCCGGTGTCCCTGGGAGTCCCCAGGTGTCCCTGAGGGTCCCAGGTGTCCCTGAGAGTCCCAGGTGTGATGTCCTGGTGTCCCTGGGAGTCCCAGGTGTGATGTCCCAGTGTCCCTGAGAGTCTCCAGGTGTGATGTCCCGGTGTCTTGAGAGTCTCCAGGTGTCCCTGAGAGTCCCAGGTGTGATGTCCCCACCCCTGGGACGGGTCCCAGTGTCCCTGAGAGTCCAGGTGTGACATCCCAGTGTCCCTGAGAGTCCCAGGTGTCCCTGAGAGTCCCAGCTGTGATGTCTTGGTGTCCTGTGAGTCTCCAGATGTCCCTGTGGTTCCCCAGGTGTGATGTCCCCCCTCAAACAGCCCCGGGTGTCCCTGTGGATGCTCCAGGTGTGGTGTCCCCTCCCTGGGACAGGTCCTGGTGTCCCTGTGGATGCTCTAGGTGTGAAGGTGATGTCCCCGTGACTCTCCAGGTGTGAAGGTGATGTCCCTGTGAGTCTCCAGGTGTCCTGTGGATGCTCCAGGTGTGATGTCCCTGTGTCCCTGTGAGTCTCCAGGTGTGAAGGTGATGTCCCTGTGGATGCTCCAGGTGTGAAGGTGATATCCCTGTGAGTCTCCAGGTGTCCTGTGGATGCTCCAGGTGTGATGTCCCTGTGTCCCTGTGACTCCCCAGGTGTGAAGGTGATGTCCCTGTGACTCCCCAGGTGTGAAGGTGATGTCCCTGTGACTCCCCAGGTGCGATGTCCCCTCCTCAGGTCAGCCCCCGCTGTCCCCTCTCGGGGGTGACACAGGAGGTGTCGAGGGATGCTCGGGGGAATCCCAGCCCCACATTCCCGGTCCAGCTTCCATCACAGCTCCCACCAGGAAGATTTTCCTTCACTTTCCTCCAGGTTTTCCTTCACTGTTCCTCCAGGTGTTCCTCAGAACCTGTCAGTGAAGCAAGGAAAACAACCGCGATGGCTTCTGGAGGAGAGCTTTAGACAGGGACCTAAAAACCAACCCCAACTCAGGCTCGGAGCTTCGGGTGCCGCCCCACCCAGAAAAAATCAGGGGCAACAACGACAAAGAAATCATTTATTACATTAATTTAAAAATCACCCCGCGCTTCAATGAATCAGAGCAGCGTGAAGGGTTTGAGCATTTGGGGATCGCTGCAATCCGGAGCAATCCCTGGGCACACCTGGCCAGCCTGTCCGGGCCCATCGCTGAATATTTCACCTCTCAGCTCAGATGCAAATGTTTTGTTGCCAAGGAAGCAGAGAGCGTCTCCACGGAAATTGTGGCGTGTCCCAACCGCGGATGCTCCGCTCAGCATCTTTGATCTCCTCCTCAGCCTCTCGGTATTTGTTTGGGAAATATTTCCAGCTCCCCAGCGAGGAGGAGAGCCCTGGCTGGGCTGGGCTGAGCTCAGTCCCCACCCCAAATTTGGAATGAATCCCGAATTTTCGGCTGCTGGGCTCGTGCAGCCCCCGCTGCCTGTGTGGAGCATCCTCTCTCCTCTCCCCGGGTGTGTTTGGTGCTGTGACACCTGGAAAGCCCCAAATGAGGGGAAATGAGGGGAAATGAGGATTTTGTGAGCGTAGGAATAAACTCCGAGGGGTTTCGGGAGCAGCTCCTCTGCCCTGAGCGGGTGGGACAGGCAGGAGACACAAAAATTCCTTTTGGGATACAGAACAAATACAAAACTCCTTTTGGGATACAGAACAAATACAAAAATCTTTTTGGGATACAGAACAAATACAAAAATCTTTTTGGGATACAGAACAAATACAAAACCCCTTTTGGGATACAGAACAAATACAAAAATCCTTTTGGGCTACAGAACAAATACAAAACCCCTTTTTGGGATACAGAACAAATACAAAACCCCTTTTGGGGTACAGAACAAATACAAAAATCCTTTTGGGGTACAGAACAAATACAAAAATCCTTTTGGGATACAGAACAAATACAAAACCCCTTTTGGGATAGGAAACAAAACCTCCTGGGAGGAGAAGCCGCTGCTCCCTGGAGCTCATCCCTGCCCAGCATCGCCGCTTTCTGTTCCCAGCACCATCCCCGGGCTCCCCCGGGCCCTTCCCAGGCCTTTCCCGGGACCTTGGGGCGCTCCCGGTGTTTCTGAGTCAGCCCAGGAGGGACCGGGGCCGCTCCTCTTCCCCTTTCCCAACAAAAACCCCCGAGCTGCTGGCAAAGGTCACGGCCCTGGTGATGCTCGAGCCCTTCACAGGGGGAAAAACAGGAGTTTGGGGTGGATTGTTAAAGGAAAACGAGATTTGTATGTTTTTTATATAGAATTTGAAAGTTTAATAGACAATTAGGAGATAAAAATAAATATACAGATCCGGCTGGGTGTCTCTGGGTTCATCTCACTGACAAAGGATTGTGCCTTAAAAACAGAACCCTACTATGTATCCATAAATTCTCTGTAAGTTATTTTATTTTATTTTATTTTATTTTATTTTATTTTATTTTA